CAGCTCCAGAGAAGTCACACTGTTTCTTCAGTGTTCAGCTATTCAAAGTCAGGAAGTATGTCTGTTTCATGGCTCCGCTCCTTGGAGGAAGGTCATCACTTGGTACCTAGTGCCCCAGGATCCACTGCCATACTCATATCAATCCTATATGAGGTTTCCAAGTCTGAATCCTTACAGGGGTAGACAGCCTCATCTTTAGCCCATGGAGAGGCTAGTGGGTTTGAACCACCAACCTTGCACTTAGCAGCCCAATGACTAACCCACAACACCTCCAGGACTCTTGACAGTTGCTGTTGTTATTAAAGTACAGTGGACTCGGCTCTGACTCAAAGCTACCCTGTATAGGGTTTCCTAGGAGCAGCTAGTAGGTTTGAACCGTAGATCTTGTGGCTTGTAGATGAGTGCTTATCTACAGTGCCACGCAGGAGTGCAGATACCTAGTTAGTAGTCAGGAAATGCTGGTTGATTTTAGTTGAGATATTTCTCTTTAAACAGCGTTCACAATTTACACATGCTCTCCTAGCTAAAACAAAAAAATATATATATACAAACAAAAAGCCGTTTCCATGGAGCTGATTCTGAATCTTGGGGACACCACGTGCGTCGGAGTAAAACGTCAATCCATAGAAGTAGGTGTTCAGGCCCTTCTTTCTTCTGAGGCCTCTGGGTGGACTCGAACCTCCAACCCTTTAATCATTTTATTGTTTGTACCATCCAGGACTGTGGGAACCGACAGGAGAGTGGGTTCAAGCTGCCGGCTCACAGAGTCAGCTCAGCAGCCATTTCGTGGATCCTGGATGCATTATCCCAATGGCTCCTGCTGCAGAAAGAACCCCAATGCGGAGTGAGGCCCGCTGGCCTCCTTCACCCAGTGGAGCAGACCGCTCTGTCTGAGAGGGCGTAACAAGGCCATTCACAGCTGTGAATGTGGGCAGATCTGCCCCCATCTCCACGTGGACCCCCACGCCCAGGGACCGGTCCTTGGGGTCCTCCAAATGGGCACACCCCTGTCAGAGGGGACCCCTGAGCTTCAGTTCCCCTGCTGGGCTTCTGAGATGCGTTCTACTCCACGCTCCATGCAATGAGCAACCTCCTCCGGAAGCATGGATGGGAAGATGTGGGGTTTGTCCTCTGGGAACCCCACAGCATGCTGAACATCAGCCTCACGGAAGATGAACCATGGAGGATCCTAGGAGCTGGGAGTGGGGGGTACTAGGTGGACTCTGAAGCTCAGGAGGCTGGGCTTAGGCCCAGTAGTGCCCTTGGTTGATTACATGATGTTGGGCATGTTAGTTCACCTTTCTGAGCTGTTTCCTCAATCAAAGGGAGATTTTTGTTAGGCAGCTGTACCAGGCCGTGCCCACCCTTCACTGAACACTCCACCCCAGCCACAGGGCTTTAGGAAACCCCACTTTCACCACCGGAGATACCTGAGGGGAAGCAGCAGGCTGGCTGGTCCAGGGGAGAGCCCCTCAAGCCCCCCAGCAGCCAGTCAAGGCGAGGTCCCGGCCTGGACCATAGGGACCACAGGCAGCACAGGGAGACAGGAACTTGGTGGTGGACCACGGGGAGAGGAGGGGTGTCAGTGGATCTGTATGGAAGTAGCCTTTAGGGAGGGATGCTGCCGGGAGGAGGGTCTTGGGAATCAGGGGTGACTGGACAGTGTGTGGGTGTGATGAAGTGATGGATTTAGACGGGCTGACTGAGACGGTGGCTGTGCGTATTGGTTTCGTGTTAGCACTGTGGTCTTTCGAAGAGAGGAGGGGACCGAGTGCTCCCCTCTGAATGTGGGTGGGTGGAGGGGCTGACACTTTTGCGCCTCCTAGAGTCGGGCCCCGCCCCATTATAGGCCCCGCCTCAACACCCGCCCCTTTGCGTGTGGCCACGCCCAGCCACTCAGCCCCGCCCCCGGCCAGCGTTGGCTCGGCTGGCTCGGCCCGGGCTCCACGCTGCAGCCTCCGGGACCGATGATCTGCCGGGCGCGGCAGCGGGCGCGGGGCCCGGGACGGCGGCGCGGGCCGGGAGCGGGTCTCCGGAGGGCCCCTCGGTTTCCCGCTATTGTCCAAGCATCTCGGTAGAGGGCGCAGAGCCGCTGGCCCTGGAGCGGCGTGGCGCAGGGTCAACATGAGGACTCTCCGCAGGTTGAAGTTCATGAGTTCGCCCAGTCTCAGTGACCTGGGCAAGAGAGAGCCGGCCGCCGCCGCCGCGGACGAGCGGGGCACGCAGCAGCGCCAGGCCTGCGCCAACGCCACCTGGAACAGGTAAGGCCCGCCGCCTGGTACCCCGAACATGAAGTCGGGAGCCCCCGGGCCGGTCCAAGGGGAGTGGCCGCCGCGCGCCGGGAACGGAGCTTGGCAGCGCTCCGCTGCATAGCGCTCAGAACTTACCCACCGGGCCGAGAGAGAAGTTTCGTGCAACAACGTGTTTCCAGCACTGGGACGAGAGCCGGGCCCCGCGATGACCGTGGCTTGATCCGAAGCTCTCTGCCGGAAGTCGGGGTAAAGGGACTCGGGCCGGTGCGCCGACCCCACCCAGGCCTCTCCCCGCCCGCCGCCCGGGCGCTGACAACCTGCGAGGAAAATCGAGTAGGAAGTCTTTTTCCCATTTTGCATGGCGCTTAATGTAAGCGCGCGGGCTCAGCCGGTGGGTGGCCGCGGCGCTTCCTGTCTGGTCGAGGGTGGGCGGGCGCCTTTCCCTTTAGCGGGCCCCTGTCCGGCGCAGCTGTCCACCAGGGGTGCAGCAGCTGCCCGCATTCCTAAGAGGACCCTCCCCCAGGCCCGAGGTCCGCTTCCCAGATCTCAGGCGAGGGGGTGTGGGAAGGCTGAGATCCAAGAAAGAGATGGCTTCTTTAATGGGGTACCCCCGGGGGTACCGACCGCTTTTCTAAAGTAGACTTTAACACGGCAGAAAAAAGTAGTGGTAAAAGGGAGTGAGGCCGCCTGTGGGTGGGGAGGGGTGTAATGCCTGTTCCACACACGTGTCAGATACACCCTCGGCTGTGGTCACTTGGACAACATCACGAGCACTGTTCTGAGCACAACTGGCCACCCTAAGAACTCCCTGTATATAGTCCAGGTGGGAACAGATCTTCCTTGGTTTCTCTATCAATGGGCATACTGAAAGCACAAGTGGCTGGTTAGCTCATCAGCCCACATTTCCCACTATAAAGCTGTTTTCAACACTTCCGTCTGGAGTTCCTTCTCCATTCTCTTTCATCCGGAGTTCCTTCTCCATTTTCTTCCATCCAGAGTTCCTTCTTCATTCTCTGTTGTGGTTTAGTGGAAAGAGCCCACAGATTTAATTCAAATCCCAACTCTGTTCAAATTAGTTCAGAAGCCCTGCTGTGTGATGTAGAGCAAGTCACCTAACCTCTCTGATCCTGCTTCCTTATCCAAAACAGTTGGCTGTCAAGCGTATCCCAATTCCTGGGGATTCCATGTGTTTCATAGTAGAACTGTATGTACTCCATACGGCTTCCATTGATTATGATCTTTCAGCAGGGGTCACCAGGACTATGGCAGAGGTGCCTCTAGGTGAACTTGAACTATCAACCGTTAACCATTTGCAACAAACAGGGGCACCTTCTTTATCCATAAAATGGGTTAATAATAATGCCCATCTCACAGGGTTGTTAAAAAACTCACTGCCCCTGTTTAGGGTTTCCAAGACTGTAAACTTTGATGAGAGCAGGTAGCTAGTGGGTTTGAACTACTGACCTTGTGGTTAGCAACCTAACACCTAACCCACAAGACTATTGTTAAAGGCGCAACACCCTTGGAATATTTATTTGGGGCTCCTGACAGTTAATTGTGTCAGGTGGATCTGTAAGGGAGGGGTTTGGTGAGCTCCTGCCTCCCCTCCTCACCCCCTATCACCTCCCAACTGAAGTGATGGACCAGCTGGAGCTCCCAGATAGAGGTGGGGGCTTAAGTGGACCCTGACTGCAAAAGATCCCCACTGCTCCCGCCTCCATGTGACCTCTGGGTCCAGGTCTCTTCCCAGAGCTAGGGGAGGGGGAGGCCCCTGCAGGGAGAAGGTCACCTGATTCACTCCATTGTTTTGACTGGAAAGGAACTTTAGCTGCATAGATGTTCTCAGCCAGCAGGGCAGCCACCTGTCCCCATAGCACCTACATGCTCCTAGCTCCTTGCCCCAAATCCGCTCAGCCTCCTCAGGCCGGGGGTACTGCCACTTCCCACACCTCTACTGTTGCCAGGCCCCTCGAGTTCTGTGATTCTGCCTTGTCAGAGCTCTCCATTTCAGCAGGGGAGATACACAGAAAGCCAGACCCCTGCTCTGTCCTCCCCGTCAGCCATGGGGATGGAGCCATGTCAACCCCACAGGTCTGTCGGTGCTACATTTGAGTCCACAATGCACTTCTTCTTTCTGTGTGGCCCTGGGCGCACTGCACCCCCTAAGTCCTCCTCAGCTCTGCAGGCTGAGGTCCCCTGTGTCCTTGTCTGCTGCCCCTTGATCTGTAGTAAGAGTTGAGCCTGAGTATGCATTCATGAGAGCCAGTCATTCATTCATTCATCCAGGACATGTATCCCCAGAACACCTTCCTGCCAGACACCGAGCGGGGCCCAGGCCCCCCACCCCCACGTACCCAGACCCACTGCCTGGAGATTGGAGTTGGTAGCAGGAGCCAGGAAGTAGACTTACAGATCAGCCCTGGAATAAGGGACCTGTAGATTGAGGACAGGGTTGGGAAGAAAACAAATGTGACAGCTGGCTTGGGTGCTGGCCACCTGCTGGTCATGCTGTGTCCACAGACGCCGACCTCATGGGTGCAGGAAATGCTTTTACACGGGTGGTAGGTGTGGGCTGTGTGCAAACCACAGACAAGGACCGGGGTTGTTTCCTGAGCGCGTGCTGCTGGTTTATTAAACAGTTTCTCCTCCCTGGACTTGGCCAGGCCTGTCTGGAGACTGGAGCTGCGCAGAGTGACCAAACACCGCCCACGTGGGCCCTGAGGAGGCTTGTCATGCTGGATCCATGTCCTCATGGGCAGCCCCAATTCGCCTCTCACTGGGTCTGGTCCCTGGGCCCAAACTGCAACTCTGTGAAGGCCATTCTTCTTAGGCTGAGGAGCCAAGCTATGGCCTCAGACTTTCCTGGCTGGAGAAAGAACTGGGACGCAGGGGGTCCCTAGCAGGCTGTGGTGTACTCTGCAGGCTGGGAAGTGAGGGGCATGAGACTGGAGGCCTGGACTGCTGGTATTAGGGTGCCAGGAGCAGGAGACCCGATGACTTTCCACCTTGCCTGTGGGTGGGCTCTGTCCTCTCTCATCCTACCCAGAGCCCATCCTGTGGGCCTTGCTCCAGGGCCTCCACCTCCTGGTGGGATATGTTTGCCATCCCTACAGCTATCCGGCTACCTAGGACTCCAGAGCTCTGGAGAAACATCCGAGACCCAGAACACTTACACATTAGAGTGAGGGGCAGGCCGAGTGAGGGGGCAGGACCTCAGCTGGGGTTGGGAGACAGCTTACCAAGTTCCACCCCCCCCCCAGGCGCACCCACCACAACTCCCGCATCCTCCTTGTTAACAATCACAGACATCTGCTCCCTGCCACCTGTGTCCCTCCATTCCACAGAATTGGGGGCCTAGCAGAGGTAGGAGTCCTGGTATGGTGTTGAAGGATAAAGCACAAGGTCAGCGGTTCAAACCTAGCAGTCACTCCCTGGAATCCATATACAGGGTTACTGTGAGTTGGAATTGACTCCATAGCAATTAACAACAACCTCAAGGGCAGGAGGCCTCATGGTGCCCCGATGTGTACGCCCTATTCACTCCACACTCACATCCACCTCTACAGCTGGAGTGATTATCGTTTGTTTTGAGACAGGGAAACTGAGGCCAGGAGAGAAGGAAAGGACTTGACCTAGACTCCCGTGGCTAATGTGGGGGATGGGATCAGGTCCAACTGGGCCTGCAGTGAAAGAATAAAGAGCAGACCTCTGTATCCCACTACCGGGGTCCACAGAGCAGGGACTAAGGCCTGAACAGGGGTCGTCACTGGCCCACCTGGGTGCATCCCCCCTCACTGTGTCCACCTCACCATGGTACACACATCGCAGACGGCACTGCAGCCTCACCCCCTGACCTGAGCTTGGAAGCATGAGCTAGCCCCTTTAATCTGGTAATACCCCTCAACGTTGGAGCAAGACACCCATTTTTTAGATGAGGAGACTGAGGATCAGAGAGGTACAGGATTGGACCTGGACCCAGGTCTAACAGTCAAACTCCAGAGCTTCCCCTTCCTCTACCACCTTATGGACTCTCTAAGAAGTCAGGAAGACGCCTAGTGGAGCTGCAGTTAAGCACTTGGCTGCTAACTAGTAGGTTGGTGGTTTGAACCCACACAGTAGCTCCTCAGGAAAATAACATGGCTGTCTCCTCCTGATAGATGGCATCCTGGGAAACCCTATGGGGTAGTGCACTTTGTCACATAGGGTCACCGTCAGTCCAAATCAAGGGTTCAGCCCCCAGTAACGACAAAGGGTCAGAAGATGCTGGACATAGACTGAAGGTTCCATGGCCATTGGGTGGGAGTCAGGGCTGGAGCCAGGTGGGGGCTTAGACACCCCCCTCCCACCACCCACTTACCCTGAGCCTGGCACTGCGTCCTGTGTCCCTCTCCCTAGAGGCAGGCTGGGCCTCATGGTAGAGAGAATCATGGCCCCCAAAGATGTCCCTGGGCAAATCGCTGGACCTATGAATATGTGACTTACATAGCCAAAGGGACTTTGCTTTGACTGTGTACGTCACATACAGATGGGACTGAGACTGGAGACAATTGTGGACCATGTGGTGGGCTCAGGGTTAGGAGCAAAGTCAGGAGCTGTGACCAAGAAGCAGAGACTGGAAGCTGTTAGGCTGTGGCTTTGAGGATGGAGAGAGGATCTGTCTAGAAGCTGAGTAAGACACCAGATTCTCCCCAGAGCCTCCAGAAAGAACACCACGGTGCTGTGGCACCTTGATCTTACTGTTAAGGCAATTCCGACTCATAACAACCCTGTATAGGGTTTCCAAAGAGCGGCTGGTGGGTTTGTACTGCTGACCTTGCGGTTAGCAGTACAGTGCTTCTCTTACAGAGTCACACTTCTTGTTGTTGTTGGTAAGTGCCATCGAGTCATTTCGGACCCATAGTGACCCTGTACAGGGTGTCCTAGGAGCGGCTGGTGAGCTTAAACCACCGACCTTGTGGTTCAAACCGATTTCGTAGTCCAGCGCATTTTGTAGTCCACAGCACCATGCT